AAAAGAAACAAGAAGAGAGGGGAAAAAAGGAAAAGGGAAACAAAGTATAAAGACACACACACCACTTCCACCACCAACTCCAACTGACTTCCTCGTCACCCCGGGTTTACTTACGTATGTGCATATTTACATAGATGTATACATATATATATACTTCTTTTTAGCATCCCCCCTCGACTACTTCTCCCGCTGCCTCCTCCAAGCACACGAGAAGCGCGGCGGGAGGAAAGTGGTCGGTGGGGGGATGGAGGCGGGGGAGGAGGTTGGTTGCTCGGCTCCGTCGCGCTGCTTCCTTGTCGTGCTTGCGTGGGCCAACTCCCCAACCTCCTCCCCCGCACGTAAGCAAGAACTTCGTTCTCTCTCTCTCCCTCTCTCTCTCACGCACACACTCGTGCACTCTTTCTCTTTTTTTTTGTTCCACCGGCGTTTGTGGAGTACTTTATTTATTTTCGCCCCTCCCCCTCCGGCTACTCCTCCTCATCTCAGGCAGGTGGAGGTGGTCCCCGCTCGCGCGTTTCTTCCCTCGCCCCTTCCTCTCGCGCTCGCGCTCGTCTCCCCAGACCGCTTCTCGTTGCTGTTTGCGGAGGGGCTCCGCGGCCCCCGCCGCTACGGGCCTCAGCCGATGGAGCACTGCAGGTGGAAGGGCGGCTGCGGGAGCCGGGCGGAGGGGCAGTGGCGCACGACGGCCATGATGCATACGCCGTTGGGCGCCCCGTTCCCCGCCGCCGCCGCCGCCGCCGCCACGCCGGTGGAGAGCACGTCGCTGCAGTCGCCCCCCGCGGCGCGGGCGTCGGAGGCCAGCCGCAGCAGCACCTCCTCCGCGGTGTACTCGAGGTCCTCGCCGGCGACGCTGCGCAGCGTGCGCTCGAGGGAGTCCCAGCCCCGCATCCGGTCACACCCCCGCAGCACGGCCAGGATGTCGCCGGTCTTGAGGCCCACCTCGTGCCGCTGCACGCGGCCCGCCTCCCCGCTACAGTGAAACGCGATGCGGTTGGAGCGGAGGAGGGACACGGCGCAGGCGCCGGCGAGCTGAATCTTCGCCAGCGGCACCTGCCCAGGCTCCGCGGTGGCCAGGCGCACCGTCGCCGCCGCGTCTGGCGCGTCGCAGCTGAGAATGGAGGGGGTGCAGCTGAGCGAGAGGCCCGGGGAACTCGGCCGCGTCAGCTTCACGGCGCGGTCGGCGAAGAAGAGGCCGGCGCCGCGGCTGACGTCGGCCTCGGCGCCACTAATACCGCTGCTGCTGCTGCTAGAGTTGGGGCTGGCCCGGGCGGAGGCGCTTGCGGCGGCCAGGCTCAACAGCCGCGCGGCCCAGAGGGCGGTGGTACGGCGCATGACTAGGCGAACTTCCCACAGCGTCGAAAAGGGACCGGCGGCAGCAACAAAAAATAAAGAAAAAAAAAAAGGTGTGCGCCGCAAAGAAAGAGAGAGAACCACAAAAACGAAAAGATAAAGTGAGGAAATACGCAGGCCGCCACGGATGTAAACGAGAAAACGAAGGTAATAACACCAAAGTAAATAGCGGGGACACAAGTGGCAAGTGCAGGAGGAGGAGCTGCAGCGGTCGTCGTCGTCGCAGAGGGGGGGGGGACTGCAGAAAGGCCAGCAGGGAGAATCAGAAAGGGACAAACAATGACAATAAAAAAGAGGGAGAGAGACGGAAGAATAATAATAATAATAAGAATAAAAATGAAAAGACAGATTCCATTGTATTGGCTTCTCATTCGTTCCGTCTTTATCCCATTCCTGCCCGCAGAACGTGTCCATTCACCTCTATTTTATTATTATCATCATTATTTCTCGCGCTCTCTATCTCTCTCCTCCACTGTCTCCTCCTGCGTCTGCGTGCACGCCATGCTGATGCGGCTGCGGCGTCCCATCCCCTTTCTCCCGCCGAGGCGGCCGTGTGGCAACACCCGCACGCCTCCCTCACACACACACGCTCCGCCGTGTTTCCCCCCGTCATTGCCGCAGCCTTTTAGTTTCCTCGTTTTCTCTTGTCGGTTTCCTTTACTCGCCGCGTGTGTGTCTGTATGCATGTGTGGGTGGCTGCGGCGGCAGGGACCCGCAACTGCGCTCACACGGGCGACACCGTGCGTGGCCGCCGCAGTGAGGCCTCGGCGCGCTGCAGCTGCGCAATTTCGCCCGTCTGCAGCGCCGTTCCCGTCGGCGCTGCGGCCGCGTGCTCGCCAGCGAGCAGGCCGCGGATGCGCTCCAGCAGGTACGCCGCGCAGAGCTCCCTGCTCTCGCCGGAGAGCTGCGCCACCGTCGCGGCGAGCGTCGTCGCCACGGCCCCCGCGCCAAGCCCCGCCCCCTCGTCGCGCTCGTCGAGGAAGTGGAGAAAGACGTCGAAGACGGCGGCCGGGGGCACCCCGCTGGAGTGCAGCAGCGCGGCGATCTGCGCCGCCGACTCCCCGTGCTGGGCGAGCAGCGCCACAAACGGCAGCAGCGGGAGGCCGGCCGCGTAGCCGTCGTAGTACTCCCGCACAACGTTCCGCACCGCCTCCGTCGCGCGCAGGCCGGTAGCGAGGAGAAACTCGAGCAGGCCCTGCACCACCTCCACGGTGACCCCCTCCGGGGTCTCGGGGTGCACCTTCAGCAGGTCCAGCTGCACCTTCGCCCCGCCCTGCCGCTGGTACTCGCCGGCCAGCTGAAAGAGCCGCCGCTCCTCCAGGTACGTGTGCCGCAGCTCGTCCACGTCCGCCTCGGCCTTCGCCTGCTGCCAGGCTTCCAACGGGGCCGCCGCCGCCGCCGCCGCCGCGATGGCATCCGCCAGCTCCTCCTGCAGAAGCAGGACAAAGTAGACAAGCTGCCCCGACGTCGTTGGGGCCGCCTCCAGGGCGAGCTTCACGCACAGAATCCGCGAGGCAAGGCCGAGGCGCTGCTGCCCCCGGGCAATGTCGCAGAACCCGCGCGCGGCCGCGGCGGGGCGCCGCGTGCGATTAAGCCAGCAGTCGCAGAAGAGCGCGGTGAGGGTGTGCGGCTCCGCAATCGCGACGGCGTGCTGCTCCAGCGCCTCCGCGAAGCCCATCACGCGGTCGTCCTCAAGGGGGTGGCTGAAGATCCACCGCAGCACGGCGTGCTGCAGCGCGGGGTGCTCGGCGGCCGCCTGCAGGACGACGTCGAGGCGCCGCTTCAGCTGCTCGGCGGACTCGCTTTGGCTGTAGCGCTCCAGCATCCCCAGCACGTCCGCGACGGCGCCGCGGCTGTGCCGCAGACAACAGAGCAACAGCCGCAGGTGCGGCATGCTGTCGGGGAAGGCCCCCTCGAGCTTTTCCGCCACGTAGTCAAACACCTGCTCCTGCCGCAGCGACCGAACGTTGTCACAGGCGTACGCCAACGCCGCATCCGGCTGGTTGGCTGCGATGCAAACCGCAACGCTCACGGCGTGGCGGGCGCGCGGCGGAAGAAGTCCCCGCCGCGCCTCCAGCTGAGCCATCGCAAACCGATCCTCCGTTGCCAGGATCTCCAGGCAAAGCGATGTGACAGCCGTGGCCGGGTCATCGCCCCAGACCACGCGATCTAGTCTACTCCGCCCCGCGACGGCTGTGCCAAGGCTGCCGCGCAGTCGCAGACTGTACAGCCAGCACAGCACCCCGGCGTCCTGCAGCCCCCGCAGGAGCCTCGCAAGCAGCATCGCCTGCGCATTCAGGGCGGTGCGTAGCGTGAACGGGTGAGGCGCGGTGGCGGTAAACCCGCTCCACGACAGCTCGAGCGGCTTGGGACAGTCGAGGTAGCCAGACGGGCGCAGCAGCGCTTCCAGCTTTTCGTGCCACGCCCACAGGTGGGTGGCCATGCGCTCTAGCCCACAGGCCTGATGCCAAGAGAGGGGGGCACGCCACAGCGACTCTGCCAGGGCCATCGCGCGGTGCACAAGCGCAACGATGCCGTGCACACCAGGCGCCACCCGCATCTCGCTGCCGCGAAACGCCGGCTGCAGCAGGTCTGTCAGCAGCGGCGACAACGCCTCCGTCGCGGCCCCGGCGAAGGCGGCCCCCACCAAGGCGCCGATGCCCCGCTTTGGGCCAAGCCGCTGCAGCGAGGCGCGGGGCCCGTCGCTTGGGCCTGGCTGCCGCACAATTTCCGCGAACATGCAACCGAGGGACCGCACGCCGATGTGGCACAGAATCCCAGCCTTGCCGTACACAATGAAGGCCGCGGCAGGGTCCGCCGGCTCGCTGATGCACGCCACCCCCACTGCCGACGTGCTGAGCCGCAGCACGGAGACAACCTCCACAACGTCGTAAATCTCTTCGTAGATGGGCGAGGCGGCGGCCAGCAAGAGTGCGGTACAGGTCCGTGCGTCGTACAACACGGTCGTCCCCTCGGCATCCTGCGACGCCAACTCCACGCTGTCGACGCGAACGTCCTCCGGCAGGGGGCGCACCGCCCCCAACCGCAGCACCGTGCGGCGGGCCTCGTCGGATCGCTTTGCGGGTGTCTCCTCAAACAGCACCGGCTGCCGCCCGCCGTTGCTGAAGACGAGCGTGGCGTACCGGTGCAGCGGAGAACTTGGGAGCACGGCGACCGCGCTCCCCTGCAGCTGCACGCAACACTCCGCGGCGAACGCGGACGTCGACGCGCGTCCCCACACCGTGAGTTCGGCGTTCGACAGCACGAATAGTCTTCCGCGGCTGGCGTCGTATGCGCTGTCGCGGTAGCGGCGCGTGTCCCACAGCGACGCCAGCGTGTGAAGGAAGTTTAACGGGTGACGTCCGCCGACCGGGAGCAGGCCCAGTTTCTGCTGGCCTCCCGTGACGAGTTGGTAGGTCGCCACGTGGGCGTTGCCGTGGCAGAGCGCCAGCTCCCCGTCGCGGGCAAACACAATCTTTTCCACGGCGTGCTTCGTGCCGACGAAGACGTCGTCCGCGACCTGCAGCTGTGGGGCTGCCCGCAGCTGCGCCACATACACGCCGTCGGCGAGGCCGACCGCCAGAACGGCGTCCCCGTCCGCCCCCTGCTGCCGGATGCAGGCGTCGTGGATGGGGCTGTCCCACGGCGGGCAGTAAAAGTGCTCGCCCTGCCGCACCACGAGGAGGCGGTTGTCGCTCATGACAAGGTGGGCCCCGTCCTCGTACTGGGCGCGGTAGCGCGCGCTCCCGCTAAGCAGGTTGGCGCACGGCCAGGCGTGCTCCTTCTCCATCGTCACGTCAAATAGTGGGCAGTGCGACGCGGGGCGCAGCAGACTCCGCAGCAGCGGCGGAGCAGCACTCTCGCCGTCCGCCTCGCCTTGTTGAGAGTGGTGAAGCAGGGACTGCAACATTCCCGCCCCGCCCACTCACTCACGCCTCACCTCTTGCAGGAAGCACCAGCAGCGGCTCTTTGCTGTGTGCGCTTTTTGTCGTTGGTTGTGGCCGTTGCTGTTGTTTCTAGACAGAGGTAGATAAATATACTATTATTACTACTACGTTGCCTTGTCCACTCTCTCTCTATCGCTCGCCGTGTTTGCGTGCCCTGCACCCGCTGGCTTGGTCACCCGCTACCGGCTTCCTTCCCCTCCCCCCACCTCCACACCCTGGCGTGAAGAACAACTCTGCCTCAGCAAAAGAGTGAAAGAAAGAAAGCGAAAGAGATCAGACGCACACATGCAAACAGAGAGAAAGAGATACATAAGTAACGCAAACGCATGCTATACATTTGAAAGCGAGCTGTGAAGAGTTAAAGGCAGACGCCACAAGAGATCCTCCTTCGCCTGCTCACTGCATGACTTTTTTTTGGTTATTTTACATTTGCAGTAGCCAATCATCCTCTCTTCCCTTGCAAGGAGACAAGAAGCATCATATTTGTGTGTTTGTCGCGGTTGCTGTTGATGTTGTATATTTTTCCCCTCTTCTTCGCCCACGCCTCAGGGCCATCCCTCGATCATCACCCGGCGGAACTCGTTGAAGCTGAGGCGGCCGTCACCGTCGGTGTCTGCCTCGTTGATCATCTCAAACGCCTGCGCCGTGGAGAGTGGGCAGCCGAGGCGGCCCATGACAAACTTGAGGTCGGTGACGTTGATGAACCCCCTGTTTCCAAGGTCGTAGATGCTGAAGGCGCGCCGCAGCTCCAGCTCCTTCTCCTCCGGGTCGTTGAGTTTGGTGGCGACGAGGGTGAGAAACTCGGGGAAGTCAATCACGCCGTTGGCGTCCAGGTCGGCCTCGGCCATCATCGCCTGCAGCTTCTTCCGCGACACCTTCTGGCCGATGGCCTCGAACACCTCGCCGAGGTCGTCCACCGTGATGCTGCCGTCGGAGTCCTTGTCGAAGACGGCGAAGGCCTCCTTCAGCTCCGTGATCTGCTGCAGCGTCAAGAGATCGGCCATCGCAGCGGGGAAGCGGCCGCCAGCTTGCGCCCCTGCACGTCCTACTCGTGTTGCCTAAAAGTCTGGCAGGTGGGAGGGGGATGCCACCTGGCGCCGCCCGCAATTCCCGTCCAAAGCTAAAGCAGGCAGGCAATCAAAGGGGGGAAGAAAATATACACCAAAACAAAATAAAAAGTATTAATTATATTCCCATGATACTTTCCTTCTATTTTATTTGTTTTTTTTTGTTTGCTTGTTTGATTATTCTTTTTCTTTTTTGATGAAGGCTGCAAGACGCATCTTGGGTAAAAGGAACATCAAAGCAAAAAAAAAATGAAAATGAAAAAAGGGCGCGCTTGCGCCCAATATGGCATAAAGAAGACATACATCACTCAACGCGTGGCTGCCTCCTCCTCCTCATCGTCCTCAAACGAGTACAACTCAGCCTCTGCCCTCGAACGCTGCGTGTGCAGGCGCGAGCGCAACACCGGATTCCAGAGTTTGTCGTCCTCTATGCTAGACATGAGGGCGCTGCTCATTTCGTCGGTGTGCGGCGAGGTCCTGACGTCCGCCTCGCAGGGGGCTGGTAGATCATGCGCGTGTACCGGGGTTCCCCCCTGCATGCCTGTTTGGAGATTTTTTATGCACCCATACGAGAGCTCGCGGCGGTCCATCGAATGGGCGCCAAAGACAAGCTCGTCCTCGTCTCGGTGCAGCGCCTGCAGCTCCTTCATCTGGTGCGAGCGTCGATGCGCCCACACCCGCTCCTCGTGCGTTGTCTCTTCCCAAAAGTTGTTGTACGGTCTCGGAATAAGACTCTCGTCGATGGGAACGCCGTACTTCTTAAGCACCCACTTTGCCTTTCGGTAGCCGTCCACTACCATCATAAAACAGTCCCAGGTTTGATTGACGTAACGCGCCGCGGCAACCTCTTGATACAGCATGCGGCGATAATACTCCTGCCAATCCGGCGGCAACTCGCGTAGACGGCGATAGGCCCAGTAGGTAAACCGCTTGGCAGGACTCACCGCGCCATAGTCGTACCAAGAAACACGATACGGCGTATGCCCTATCGTGTTGTGTAAATTTCTCGCAAGTGGCTCCTCATCCTCCGCCGCTAACGCCACCTGTGCCAGCTTGTTTGTCTCGCCTTCGCTACACGACACCTTCGCGTCACTGCTCACTAAACCACTTTTTCGCGGCCCTGCATCTGACGTGCACAGGTCTCCCGCTTCGGGCGTGTGGGCAAGACGGGCTACGGCAAAGACGGGCTCCATTTCCACGGGGTCCAGCGTGAAGTTTTTCCCCCGTGAATTCACTTTCCGTGCCTCCGCTCGAGTTCCCAGCTCTGTTGAGAAAAACCTGCTCTGGCAACGCCACGGGTGCGGGAGAGTCACACGCCTGACGGCCATCCGTGCGGAGGACGATAACTTAGACGCGTGAGCGCACATCTAGGCGCGTCTCCCGCTTCTTGCTTGCTGTCGCGTTAGCAGGAAACACCGACGCCAACAACAAATCCCACTCTCAGCCCCAAGACAGAAAAAAAAAGGAAAATCATAGGAGGAAAAAAGAAGTTTTATTAAATAGACTAGGAACATTCATCCGCAGACGTGTTTGCATTCATATATATATATATGTATATATTTCTTCTTATTTTCTTCCATCGAACTATCCCCCCACCTTTTTTTTCCCCCTAATCCCTTTACTTTCGGCAAAATAATAAAGCCTCGTGCCAATATTAGCCACCGCTTATATATATATATATGTATATTCCTTCATTCACCTCGTGCTACAGCAGCATCGCCTTCGATAGGGAAAGGCCATCTAAAAACATGTATAGCCTTGCGTCAACAATAATTCGCGGCTGGCGTTTCTTTTTTTCCTCAAGCAGTTTATTCAATGACTGCAGAGGAGTATCATCACCGCCGTCACCGTCCAACTTTTTTGACGACACTGGAAGCAGAATCACCTCAATATCCTCGTCATCGTCTAACTCCTGCACCGGGGAACGGTTGACCTCTCTCTCACCATCAACAACCACCCGCACAAGCTTGCAACAGGAATCGGTGAGCCCGGGCTCATAGCAAATCGCATCCGTCACGTTTATAATGTTTTCTTCTGTGGCAACATAGCCCGTTTCCTCCTTCAGCTCACGCAAGGCGGCCCTCTGCACATCCTCACCCTTGTTCACTAACCCTGCAGGGAACTCCCACACCACGGCATCCAGTGGAGGACGATACTGTGCGACTAGAACAAGAAATACACCATCCGAACGACGCAAAAAGGCGCAAATCTCCGCACCATCTATAGTAAATGGCGCAGTTGTTGATGGGGGCCCTCCTGGAGAGGGTTGCAAACCAGTCCGTTGCACCAGCTCCCACGTTCTACTCTTTCCACTGACAATTTCCTCCGCTCCGTCCAGTGAAGAACTGTGGCACATCGGTCTGTACGAAATCTCACACAGGCGCAGAAACCGATTCTCACGTAGGACGTCTAGTTTTGTCCTTTCATACCGCCTCATCATTCTCGTGACAGCCAGCTGATATAAATGAAACCACACGCCACCTGTGTGTTATCTCTTTTTGTTTTCTTTTTTGAGCCAAAGGGAAACAAACCGCAGGATGCAAAAGGAAAATAATAATAATAATAATAACCGGCAAAACTCCTGTTAAACGCACAAAAAAAAAGATGAAGAAACAAAGCGACACACAAGCTGCAATATAAAATCAAAAGCAAATTTTTGGAAAAGGCAAAAACAACAACAATAAAAGAGACAAAATCCGCTTTATTGTCGTTTGCATTCCCCAAAATTTTTCATTCATCCCCCTCCTCTCCTAAACAATTCACCAATAACCCCTGTAATGTTCCCCTCCATATTAACTTCCAGAGTCATCGCATCCGCATTTCGTACATTAATACGCCCAAAGAAGGCTGCCGATGAAGGCATGAAAAAAAAGGCCACATGGGACCCAGTGAAACAAATATAAAGGAATTTTTTATGAAACCTCAATGCCTACAAGAGAGTAATACGCAAATATATATATCTCGCAGTTAACACGTCATGGCCTCTGGGATGAGCAGGGATGAAACAAAAACAACAACAACAAAACCCAGGTTATTAAAAAAGAATAAAAAGGTTTAACCTCCGCATTATTTAGCTCACCACCATCTATGAGAAGAAAAAAGCAAAAAAAAACGGGTCATATTACTTACCGAAGATCACAGAAAATATATGCGTAATAGGGTGCCTCTGTTAACACTAGATGTATGAGGCTTCAGAGTAGATGGTGGAAACCTATATTATATATATATATATATATATATATTCTGTTAGTTGGAACAGGCAGTAAGACGAAAAATTAATTATAAATAAGCAAATAAAAAGGTTGCCAGAGGAGGACAGAATAAGAAAAGATGTATATACCAAACTCATAGACCCCAATGCCTGGCTTGCTCCTCTCCAGGTGCTATCTTTTCCTACTTTCTCCATTTGTTTAAGCGATACCCCAGGGAGTAGAACAATTAAACCGCAGAATATTCCCCAGGGAAAAAGAAGAAAAATAAAAACTAAACTGAAGCAATGCAGAACTGCCAAGACACTAATAAATGCCGTGGGATAATGAAATATTGTTTTGTTATAATAATAATAATAGCGTCAAATGAAGGGCTATGAATAGGGTTCATAAAAGCGGGGTTTTGTCGATTTTGGTGGCGAATAAGACACGCAAGTTCACAAAAAGGAAAACAAAGAGCAAGCTAAGGCTACCGCTGTCATCCATTTTCTCCAGTAGTTCGAATGGAGTTACCAAGACAGCCGTGCATCTACAAAGATATTTAGCCAGTCATCGAAGCACAGCAAGGAAAAAACACACACACACAGCTGGAAAGGCACATCTCTTTCTTTTGAAAGACATAAATGGTGATAGAAAACTCTTAATTCATTTATCTTGTTTAGACATATTTGCCCATTCATGTACCTAGAGAGGCACATATGGATATACCTACAGCAAACCCTTATACGGTCAATGATGACGCCATATTAAGCTCTGACAATTCACATGGGTTCTGCACACCCTCACGGTTTTAGTATGTTCCCTTTATTTACATAGAAGGCAGCAACAGACAGCTAATCGGCGCTATTTGTTTTGATATGTAACCTCCTACACACCTCGTCAGAAGGCGAGGGAGAAAATACAAAAAAAAACAGAGTATGAGAACATTAAAGTAAAGAGCTTTTCCGCCGCATTCACAATGCAGTCGAGCACAGCATTCAATGATGGGTTCGAAATTCAAAAAGAAATTCCTAAAGGAACTTATTGTGAAGCAAACAAAAATACAAGGGAGAAAAAGCAAACACCCATAAACTGACCGCAGACAAAACACATGGGCCGCAACAACGCCAGTCACGATAAAAAAAAATGTATAACCGCCAGCGAGTCTCGCAGATAAATTCTTGTGGGAAGAAAAGGCAATGACAAACAACAAAAACCGAGAACGTTGAGAGTATAAATAAAAACAATGCCACCGCACGGTTGAAAAAATAAAAATAAAAATAAAAATAAAATAAAATAAATAAATAAAAGGACCTAGCTCTCACCCCCCAAGAACGCCATCCTCGACCCTTTTGCTCCGCAAGACCTGCCACGACGACAAAGCCATGACGCGACGATCTGAAGTAGCAGCGGAATCCCGCCGCTTCAGACGCGCGGCGCCGGGGCATTACGCCTTCTTGCGCCACTGCTGCGGTGCCGGTTGGCATCAGGGTTGTGCGCGCCGCGCATTCCGTGCTGCACTGTGCTTCTTCTTCTGGGGAGAGCCGCGCCGCAGAAGCCGCACGGAAGCTCGGGCAGGGGCGGGGTGCGTTCCGGGCGGAAAGGGCGACAGCGCAGCGGCTGGTGCGGGCGCTTCTCCCTCCGGCGGCATGCGGCCGTGCCGAGGCATGCCCGCGCGCCACGCCTTGGTGAGTTTTGCGGCGCTCTTTGCGCGGCCGGGCTGTACCGTTCTGCGGGCACCACCGCAGGGACTCCGCGATGCCGGTGGCGGAACTTCAGTTGCGCGGGCCGGGCGGCCCGCGTCGGTGGCGAGGGGCGCCGCGAGCTCCTGTGCTCCGCCCGGTCGTTTTGGCTGGGCGGGCCCTTGCCGCAGCGGCCCGGAGGCAGGGACCGCCGGCGGTCGCAACGCGGCGGCCGGCCCGGGGCGGACCGATTGACCCCCACCCCACCCACCCACCAGCCCACCCACACACGCACACACACACACAAACGGCAGCGGCAAAACAAGACGCTGCTTGCAGCTGCATGGGCGCGCCGCGGTTGCAACTAAACTCCTTCGTGGCCCCCGACGCGCGCAGCAATGAAATCGCACCTTGACGCGGTGCCGAGGCTTTGGACCACGAGAACACCGCAGCGGGGCGCTGCCGCGAGCGCGACGGAGACCAGGACGACCTCGCCCCTCGAGAAGGCTCCGCGCCGTGTCCGGCGTGGGGAGGTGAAGCGGTCTGCGTGCAGACCGGCCGACAAAACCGCACGTCCGATTCGTTTCGGTCACTCCGTCGACATCACCCGCTGCGGGGATGTCCGCGTAAGAACCCGGGCCCCGATGAGGACGGCTCCGTTGTCGCCTGGCAGCTGAACATCGCGGGCCTTTCGCCTGTCAAGAACATCGCACTAGCTGCACTTCTGGCCCGGCATCCGCCAGACATCGTTCTCCTCCAGGAGGTCAAGAACCAGAGTGCCACGGCGACGATGTTCATTGGGTACACGGACTTCCACCGGGCCCGCGGCAGGCGCGGCGGCGGCGTTGCCGTTCTGGTCCGCCACACCCTGCCGTGCGAGTGCCTGCGCTCCCTGGCA